GGCGGGGCAGGGCAGATCATCACCCAAACAGAAGCAAGGTGTCACCTAGCTTGTCGGCAACATCCCCCCGCGGACCGGCTCCGACCTTCCCGTCCCCTCGGCCTGAGCGCTCACCTCCACGTTGTACTTCTTGCGGGCCCTGGCCACTTTCACCGCGAGGTGCGTGACCAGGACGAAGCTGGCAGCCCCCGTCAGGATGACGTAGCCGTACTCCTTGGAGAGAACAGCCATCTCGGTGCTGTCGGACACAAAAAAAGAGCCCGTTACTATCGCAGGGTGCGACTGGAGAAGTGGCAGCTCCCTACGTGCAGATATGTGAGTGTGGAAGAGGTGCTGAGCGTGGACCAAACGCCTCCCAGCTGAATAAAGGGAGAAACGAGCGAGCGGGGGAATTTTCACCTCTTGGTGTTGGGTGTGGAGCAGCGCAAACCAAGGGCTTTTTGCTCTGTTCCCGTCAAATGAGCCTTAAAATCCCTGTACGTGTTGGTGGGAGGCGGTGTCTGGAGGACACCTAGCTTGGAGCAGGACTACAGCCAACAGCAGGTCCCATCAGCTCTGCCTGGAGAAATCCCGTGACCTCGCTGACCCAGTGCTGTGCCTGCAGGGATGCTCTGGAGAGGCGGATGGAAACTGTCCACAGCCACTTCCAACACCCGAGCTGCACCGCTGAAGTCAGGAAGCGGATTCAAAGGAAACCAAAAGAGGTGGTTTTGTCACGCAGGGGGGAACAAACCTGTGGAACTCCCTGCTGAGGGATGTTGTGAATGCAGGTAGTTTTCAGACTCAAAGGGAAATGGGCAAGCTCTGGGAATAAGAGGTAAATTGGGAATTACAATACAGACAAAACACAAACTGGGACAGAAATTCCCTGAACCGAAAAGAGCCGGGCTACTGGAATTAGCTTGAACCGCTAAGGCAATCCTTACAGAAAATAGTAACAAACCCACTGCAGCAGCAATAATAACCCAACCTTTGCGGTACAGAGGCGCTGGCCAGGTGAGTGATGCTCACCCCGCTGCTTCAAGGAACCCTCTTGGGGTCGCAGCCCTGAACAGCAACACGCCGCCCGCACAAGCGGAACGGTTCTGCGCCTCCTCCTCAGAGGGAAACACGGAGCAGAAGGCGCATCCAGCTGTCCAGCCGCAGGGCCGCGTCGCATCCTTCTCCCTCTTCCCTGCTCTACGTCTGCCGGACCTGCCGTCAGCCTGCGCTGCTGGGCAGTGCCGGAGCCCGAGTGCTCTGGCATCCCTCCTCGGCTGCAGGTGAGCACAAGGGCCCTTCCCCACAACCATCTGGCACCGGACACAACCCCCAGCGCCGATGTTTTCCCTCTGCGTGACCCGAACCGGCGCTGCACGATGCAGCACAGCAGACACCTCTCTCCAGCAGTGAGGCAGTACTTCTCCAAACTGAACCATCCCCCAGCAGACGGTGCCACCGCGATGTAGCGAGGTTCTGGTGTCCCACCACCACAACCCGTCAGCGCGGGGGGAGAACGGGCCACGTCACGGATGCGGTGCCAACAGCCACGGCGCCAGGATCGTCGGGGACCCTTATTTCTCATTTGCAACGGGATTATTGCTGATGGGGCGAGGTGAAGACAGCCCTTCCTTTGAAATCAGGTCATTATTAGTGAGGTAATTAGGAGCTCGGTGGAGAAGCCCGCCTGGCAGCAAGGCGCAGGCACGGTTCTTCACGGTGGTGAAGTTGTAACCCGGGGCTTGATCCTGGCAGCAAAGAGCGCAATGCCGTCACAGCGGGTGGATTATGAAGCTGCTACTCCTACGCCCCCGGTACCAAACTCTACCGCAAGCCTTCGCGCTCCTTATCTGGCGCAGGCAGAGGACGCCAAAGTCCATGCAGGCTCCCCCGAGCAGGCGTGGTACCCCGGTGTCCCGTGGGCTCAGCAGAGCTGTGTCCCCTGTCCCCAGCCGCAGGGACTCG